ATATGCATATGTAATCCCAGCACTTGAGAGGTAAAGGCTGGAGGATCAGGAGTACAAAGCCAATCTCAGCTACACAGTATGCTTGAGGCCAGCCTGGGCTACATGAGACCCTTTTCAAATATAAACAAAGCATACATACGACAATTCCCTTTAAACTACAGAAAAATAGTAAACTTCCAAACTTATTCTACAAGGACAGTGTTACCATCCAAAGTCAAACAAGGATACAAACAATACTATATCACATTATCTCTGGTGAACCAAAGCCCACTGAGTCCTATATCATATTATTAGAAAATTAGATTTTAATCCTTGGATATAAAACTGTGTATCAGTTCCCATAATCTAACCTCCACCTCCCCTCCTTTCTTTACCTCTAATTACCACTCTGCTCTATCCTTGTATATAGGTTATAAAGATTTATATAAAGAACCTACTGAAAGTTCCCATTACAAAGATATGGTGTGTAAGGAGACAGGCACTAGCTACACTGATTTGGCCATTAAACACAGTAAATCTGTGTTCAGCTATTATTATATTATACCTCCAAAATATGTGCCAACAAATCATCAATAAAAGCTCTCTGGGAAAATGCATGTTTCTCCTCTGCTAGCACTGTGCTGCCCAGCCCTGCTGTCCCAACTAAGCACTTAGCCCTGACTTTAGAAAGACTTATATTCACTGGCATTTCTGCATGTTTGCTATTCCCAGTTTTAAACAACTGAAAAGGCATTTAGTGTTACCAACCAGCATGTTAGGATAATCTGAAAAACTGGTTCTACAAAGGGCTCAATTAAAATGATTTAAAAAATGCAATCTATTAATTTCTAATAAAATGATACACTCATGATTATTTAGGATGAATAACAAAGAAAATTGTCAATTTCTTCTTGACTTCATTATGTCTTTAAAGTTACGATTTAAAATCTGTTCTAACATGTTCGAGAGAGTTGTATTCATTTTTGTGTCTTTTTTATAAAATAAAAGCAGCAAAGCTTTAAGCATCACCAGTAACTGTCAAGTAAATTTATAATACTAATCCTTGGCAGGAAAATCCCTGCTGCAATCATCCCAGGTACACTGGTGAAAATATCAACCAATACTCTATATTATATTAAATAATATCACATAACAGAAATTGCAACATTTAAATGTAACAAAAATTAACTTTTACTTTGAAATGCATAGGATAGTACATTTTTGGATTTTATCAAAACTCAATGGTTTTGTCTTGGTCAAAATTGGTCTACTCTCACTTGAATTCCAAACATTCCAAGGCTGTCTCCAAAAATCTGCATCATATAATTTAAGTATGCTTTGTAAAACACAGTTTTGATTCTCTGCAAGGATTTTATCAAATCCATTCTCACATAAATAATGAAAATAAAGGTAGTGATACATACTGAGGCTGTATTTGAGTGGTGTGTGTATATGAACATGTGGTGTGTGTAAGTCTGTCAAGGGTTTGAGTGTCCCTCAGTTGATCTCTACTGAACAATGAGCTTATTTTATCACCTGGCTGAAGTGACCACTGGTAAGTTGCAGTGGTCCACCTGTTTCTGCCTGTCCTTAGTCCTGGAGTTATAGATGTGTGCCACTGCTCCTGGCTTTTCTATGGGTGAAACTTGGGTTCTAAATGAGCCACTTTATCAACAGAATATTCAACATTATATATGATACCTACATCCCATATTTTAATTAAGAATCTAGCCACCTGGTTCATTTGCTGTGACTATTGCTATGTCAAATGAAGACCTTAACAGCTGAGGGGAAATGAAATATAAAGAATTAAAAATTTATGACCCATTTATAAAATAGTTAAGTATTAATCAAGGGAAGGATTTCATATAACTAAGCCTTTAGGAACCTTTGACCCTTTATCTTCAATGTTATCTAAAAGAGGAGTGTGAGATTCCCATTACAGAAAATGATTTAGAGTTACTGATTTCTTTTTCCAGTTGATTATGTCATATTTCTCCAAGATGGTTAACAGAAGCAAAAAGCAGTCAAGTTGTACATATGTGAATGCGGCGTGTCTGTGTGCGCATATATGTGTGCCCATGGATGTGTGTGTATCTGTCCTTCTCTGTGTGTCTGTGTGAGCATATATGTGTGGCCATGGATGCGTGTGCATGTGTGTGTGTTCCCATGGGTGTGTGTGTGTGTGTGTGTGTGTGTGTGTGTGTGTGTGTGTTTTTGGGGGGAGCACGTGTGCATGTGCAGGTACAAGTTTCCAGAACTTTCCTGTATCTCTAGAAATCTCAAAGAGGACATCAGAAGTGTGGCTGTAGGGAGAGAGGTGATGTACAAAGACCCTGTGGTAGAAAAGCCAAGAATACACAAATCATGTGAAACCTATGCCCAATGCACTTGAGACTGTGAAAGACAGTACAGTCTAGCATGGTACTAAAGACTAAAATCATCTGGGAAAGGGGTGTGTATGTTCCTCAAAAGACTCTGAATAAAAGAGAAGTGACAGTCCCAGAAACTTGCACATGCACAACAGCTGCCTCATTTCAAAGAAGTTTTCGAAGCTACAGCACATATCCTAGATAGAGCATGGCACTTGCTGGCTCACACTGCTGTCCTAGCAGAGAATCACAAAACCAGGTCTTATAGTCAGACCATTTAGCTGGGGAGAAGGGAAAGAAGACAGAAAGAGAAAGAGTCATTCTTTCTCTATGTCCCCAAGGACCCCTGTATCAGCTGGCTAAACAAGCAACCATTCTGAGAATCAGTGTAGGCTCAGGAAACTGGTGTGACTTAGTAGATACAAGTCCACTTGGTGGGAAGGGAAGAACCTATCTTCGGGATGCAAAGGGAATTTCCAGATAAGAATGGTACCCCCCCCTCTTTTTTTTTTTTTTTTTTTTAATAATTGCAATTAGACCAATTTAAAATTAGAAAAAAGCTTCTTTTACATATCAATCCCGGTTCCCTCTACCTCCCCCACCCACTCCTCCCCATCCCAACCCCCTCTGCTCTCTAGGGATGGCAAGACCCTCCATGGGGGAATCCTCAAAGTCCATCACATCATTTGGAGCAGGACCTAGGCTCTCCCCCATGTGTCTAGGCTGAGAGAGTATCCCTCTATGTGGAGAGGGCTCCCAAAGTCCATTCCTGTACTAGGATAAATAACTGATCCACTACCAGAGGCCCATTGCCCAGACCTCCAAACTGACACCCTCATTCAGGGAGTCTGGGTCAGTCCTATGCTGGTTTCCCAGCTATCAGTCTGGGGTCCATGAGCTCCCCCTTGTTCAGGTCAGCTGTTTCTATGGGTTTCTCCAGCCTGGTCTTGACCCCTTTGCTCATCACTCCTCCCTCTCTGCAACTGGATTCCAGAGTTCAGCTCAGTGTTTAGCTGTGGGTTTCTGCCTCTTCTTCCATCAGCTACTGGATGAAGGCTCTAGGATATAAGGTAGTTATCAATCGCATTATCAGAGAAAGCATTTAAGGTAGCCTCTCAACTATTGCTTAGATTGTTAGTTGGGGTCAACCTTGTAGATCCCTAGTGCCAGAATTCTTTTTAAAAATATAATGGCTCCCTCTATTATAGTATCTCTTATCTTGCTTGTTTCTAATTTAAAATTGGTCTAATTACAATTATAAAAATAAAACGACAACAACAACAACAAAGAACCTGGAAGTAACCTGGATGTCCCTCTACTGAGGAATGGAGGGAGAAAATGTGGTACATTTACACAATGGAGTACTACTCAGCAGAAAAAAGAATGCAATCTTGAAATTCACAGGCAAATGGATGGAACTAGAAGAAACCATCCTGAGTGAGGTAACCCAGTCACAAAAACACAAAAATGGTATGTACTCACTCATATATGAATTTTAGACATAGAGTAAAGGATTACCAGCCTACAACCCACACCACCAGGAAACAAGGAGGACCCTAAGAGAGACATACATGGTCCCCTGGAGAAGTGGAAAGGGACAAGATCTCCTGAACTAATTGGGAGCATGGGGGGGAGGGAGCTAGGAGAACGAGAAGGGGAGAAGAGGAGGAGAGAGGAGGACATGAGAGAGAAGATCTAGTCAGGGGAAGAATAGAGGAGAGCAAGAAAACAGCCCCACCTCTGAGAAGAGTAAGATAAGCTATGCATGAGAGGGTGAGATGGCCAGGCCCAGCCTGACAGACTCCTCAGGGTTTGGGCTCTCTGCACTCTCAGAGCCCCAGAGGGTCTTGGTAGAAAGGTCACCCACTCAGGCATGAGATCTTAGGCTATGAGCACTGCCAAGAGTGCTTTCAAGAGAAGTAAAAGCTTGGATGGATGTTCAGGCTCATGTGGAGCCTTTCCAAGGAGGCCCTTTCTTACTGCCAAGCCTGATGACAGAAAACATACAGGGGTGAGCCCCACAGCATACAGCATGCATTCCCCTGGGGAAAGCACTGCAGGGGTGAGCCCCACAGCAGATATCATGCTTTCTACTGGGAAAACACTGCAGGGGTGAGTCCCACAGCACACAGCATGCATTCCACTGGGAAAGCATGGTGGGGCTGAACCTGCAAACATCTCTTTCTGCTATAACAAGATGGGCTTTAGAGAGAAAATGAAGCAAACCTTCCTCCCTCACCCCAAAGCAGCACAAATCAGTGAAACATTTCCATCCCTGCTCTTCCATGGTGTGCTCTCTGCCGTCTTTTGTTTTTCCTTCTGACTGGACTGCCTCCATCTGCACTTACTTTATTGGATTATCTTTCATTATTAATTCTTCAGTCTTGATCCCACATGCTCTGCTGTGTTCTCACCCTCTGTCACTTTTGTCTCCATTACTTACCAATCCATTTGCCTGAGATGCTCACTCCTGGCTCCTCCTGTAAGTACCTTTCTCTCTTCTATCCTTACTATGTTTAGAGTTGATAATCACAGCTTTTTCAGTGTACAGAAATATATGGTCTGTTTTTGAATTCTTACTATTTCTGCAGTGTGCATTTTCTCTTCCAAGTACCAGAGAAGGCTGCCTACTGATAAGATCCTCACAGAAGACAGAAAGGGAATCAAACACAGTGGAGAGGCAAACTACAATACAGAAACAATGTACAAATACATTTGCATACTTATACGTGTAAGCCATGATGGCGCCTCTAAAACCTCACATGGTTCCTCAATAACTGGACTCACAGACACTGAAAGGATTCAAATGGCACTAGACTAAGAATGTAAAGGTTTAATTGTAAAAATATTTGATGGCCTCAAAGAGGACTCACATAAAAAATGGAGGAAGCCCTTTGATATCTGGTAGAGAAAGCTAGGAATTTAAATGAGATAGTCAGAAAAAAAAGACAAGAGATTCTGAAGGAAAAAAAAAAGAATAGCAATCTTGAAAGTGAAAAGCTCAATAAAGCAAACAAACTGGGGAAAGAATAGCTGAGACGAGATTAGCCAGCTTCCTGGAAAGAATGTCAGGAACTGAAGTCAAGGTTGAGACACTATTACATTAGGCAGAAATAAAGATCAACTGTTTCAACAATTCTCCAGAACGCTAGGATAAAATCAGAAGACTACACAAGAATCCAACGTGTACAAGAGATAAAAACCAAATGAACAGAAAACTTATTCAATGATATTATAGTAGGAAAATCTCCAAGTCTAGGGAAAGACATGGAAATCCATGCATGAGATGCAATTAGGACTCCACATAGACATGATAACCTCTTGAAGACATCTCTCCTGCTCCTCTGTATATACTGTGTAAAGTGTATGTACAGTTTCTGTATAACTGATGTGAACTGCGTTGATTTTATTATTTTCTAAAATGGTCCAATTATTTAGGAAGAGAAGTACTGATTTCTCTTCTGGTGAGCATACCCTAGTGCTTTACTACAGTCGCCCTTTACTTAACCTTACCATTCATCTTTGGCTCCTCCACAGGCATTTGGCTGAAGTTTTAGTCAATATGAACAGTACCACATGCTGCAAAGGGTTTGAACACAGGCACACTCACAACCCAACTGGTTTGGATTAAAGCAGATTCTAAGATTTTTTGCTTAATTTGTTAGGAAAGAGCTTTGAGCTTATAGGGACTAAGATTTGGTGTGGTAGGTTACCAACATGTATGGAAGACTTGTCCCAAAGTGAAATAAAAATGAAGTTCATTACATATGCAATGAAGAGATCAGCACAGAAGAGAACACAGGCTAAAATCCTAGAATCAAACACTTGCATCAGTCTGATTTAATGCTTCCACTATACTCATTATTAGCTTTTCGACCAGTACATTCTATCTACATAGCTTACTTCTTTAACTACAGCATCCCTGGTAAAATCCATTTCATGAAAGGAGAGCCACACTGGTAACAGAAAAGCAATCAGTAGACTGGGGATTGTCTTACCTTTTGGTTTAATAAAGCACTTGCCAGTTTTTGTACTTCTGAGCTCAGTAAAGTAGTTCCTCTGATGACTTTGCTGAGAGCAGCAAGAGACTGATGGACACTCTGTACTAAGCGGATGGCATTGAACTGCTCGAGAATGATGAAGGATAACACTGGAGATCCTTGTCGATCATTGGGTGGTGACACTTTCTGATGGATTAGGTTTGAATTCTAAAAGAACAAGGTCATGTAACATCAATGACATACCAAAGAATGTAAAAGATCAAAAACTGCTCATGAGTTCATGTTTCTGAATAGTCTGTTTATGAATGGATGAACTGAGTCTGCAAATAGGATTTCTGGACTTTTCCTGATTTTAGTGGTATGTGTGGAGGAGACAGAACAGCAAAACAATGTCAGTGCCTGAGGAAGGCATAGAAGGAGGAGACCCTCTAACTCAATGCAGCTCCCTCACAGGGTGTTGGCTGCTCTGCAGTTCCACTTCACTGTGCCCAGACTTGGGGACAAATGCAGCTTGCAAAGCTAACCCTTTTACACCTGCAACCACTACACCTTTCACATCAATTTACTTGTTTTTACCAAGTTACTGAAAACAGAATTACTCAAAAGTCAAGAGCAGTCATAATTTCATGTTTGTTTCCTGCAGTTTAGCTGAAGATCAAGCTATATTATCTGAGAAAGGAGCACTTGCCCAGACAAGCATGTAGTAACTAATAATTTAAACTGGAAGTGCTGGAGAATGGAAACAGGCCAAGGTGGGAGTTTCCTGAGAGCTGACACTCAGTAACTGGTTGGGAGCTGGTGCACATCATTTCAGTTAGTAGACTACTCTTTCTCACAACTTTTTAAATGGGTTCAAGGTATGCCCAAATCCCATGTTTGTACAGAAGAGTCCCCTTTACAGTGACGCCACCTAGCACATTATCTTTCCTTAGTGTGTATTGGTTCCTACCCCTGCCTTATGCAGATGCACAGCAGCAGGATGCAGTCCAAGTTTACCTGGTACCTTAAGCATCTGCTAAGACATCCATCATCCCTTAGACTACAGCCCCTCCTCAGGGGGAAGGCTCTAACAACTTCATAGCCTTCCTCCAAGCCTCTATGTCCCAATTCCCTCAGATGTCCTTCTTCCACTAGCTCGGGCCTGAACTCCTACTGTTACTTTTTGGCTGTTTCAGATTTCCACCACTCACATGGCAAACTGCTTATGTCTTATTTCTAGACTGTCTAGACATTTCTAGAAATGTCTTATTTCTATTTCTAGTGCTGTGATAAGACACCACTACCCAGGCAACTTACAGAAGAAAGAGGTTATTTGGAGATTATGTTATCAGAGGGTTAGAGTCCATGACCATCATGGTGGGGAACAAGACAGTAGGCAGGCATGGTGCTGGGGCAGTATCTGAGAGCTTGTATCTGAGAACTTGCATACAATGAGGCAGAAAGAGAGAGAGAGAGCTAACTGGGAATGACCCAAGTCTTTTTGAAACCTCAAATCCTGCCCCTACTCACACACCCCCTTCAACAAGGCCACATTCCGAATCTTTTCCATATAGGTCCTTCCAAAGTAGCTCCACCAAATGGGGACCACACTTTCAGACATATAAGCCTACGTGGGCTATTTTCTTTCAAACACTACATTTTAACCACGTGGTTAAAATGCCTGATGTATTTTCTGCTTTGTTGAATGGAATCTTACAAACAGCAAGTGAGTCACTGGAATCATTTAGTTCCCTGAGGTGGGGAGTGGATAGAGCTTCCCTGGGATCCACTCCCTAGAGACATATTGGAACCACAGGTGATGCTGGCTGAGCTTGAGAAGTTGTGCAAAGCATCCTGAAAAACTATAAGGACAACAGAGGAAGGCTTTCTGTCCAACCAAGGACAAAACCTAGTTATGTTCTCTGCCTTGAAGACTCTAGACAAAGGGCTCAGCCACCATGTCCCATGGTTTACCTTAATCTAAAAGAAACTGGACAAGGCTCAGAAAGAAAGAAAATGATCAATTTAAAAGAAAATTTAAAGTACAAGAATTTAAGAAAGCAGTTTCTTTTAATTACTTTAGCACTGCAGATTGTTAGTGGATTTGACAAAATTCATTGTTTTGAAATTAAGCTACAGATTCTAAAATTTTAATTAGTTACACAAATCTATGTGTCAGTATAAACAAAACATCATTTCTGGATGAACTCAAGTTCAGAAAAAAAAAGTTCATCATGTGTTTTTCTTACAATAAACTCTTAGATTAAACAGAAAATATTTCATGTATACATTGTGTCATATGAGTAATTTAAATGAGAATTAAAGGAAGCATCAGAGTTATAGAAACAGGTATAAATTAGCCAGGAAGTCAGTAATTCTCAATAATTGTTGCTATCAGCCAGGTACTAAAAGTTAGTAAGGTGAAGGTCTTATGTAATAAACATTTAAAATAAGATCTGACCTTTCAATACACACATGCAGAGTGTTAGATGAGAACACAGTCTCCTGTGTTGTGCTTGTCAGCATTTTTGCCTTTAAAATCACTGTTTTACAAGCTTACTATTAGAAATTTTCTTTATGGAAATGAGAAGATTTTAAAAATAAGGCAATCCGTGTATCTGATAATGCAAAAGCTGGCAGAATAATGTATAAGTAAAAGTCAATAAAATGTAGTGTTAAAATGTATAACTATGCTCCACCCTCTGCTTGAAAGCCTTCATCCAGTAGCTGATCAAAGCAGAAATAGGCACCCACAGCTAAACACTGAGCCATACTCCTGGAATCCAGCTGTGGAGAGGGAGGAGGGATGAGCAAAGGAGCCAAGACAGTGCTGGAGAAACCCCCAGAAACAGTTGACCTGACCTAGTGAGAGCTCAGAGACCCTAGTCATAAAGCTGGGGAACTAGCATTGGACCAAACCAAGCCCTCGGAATGTGGGTGTCAACTAGGAAGTCATGGCAGTCTATGGTACCTCTAACAGTGGAGCCAGTGTTTATCCCTAGAGCACAAATGGACTTTGGGAGCCCATTCCCTATGGAGGGATACTATTGCAGCCCAGATATAGGAAGGAGGGCCTGGGCCCTCCCCCAAATGATGTGACAGACTTTGAAGGTCCCCCATGGAGGGCCTCACTATCCCTGGGGAGGGGTTGGGGGTTGGTGGGGAGCATGGGAGGATGGGAGGGCAAGGGAATGGAAATGTAAATAAGAGTGCTTCTAAAATATATATATATATATATATATATATA